TATGCCAGCATGCCGAAACAACGGACCGCAGGCTGACTGGGCTTGCATGCAGGAACCCTTTTGACCGCAACCCAGGCGCCGAGTTTCACATTTGCGGATACACGTGCGCCTGATTGGGGAGCGGAAGTGAAGGAGGAGGAGGAGGAGGAGGAGGAGGAGGACGGGGAGGAGGAGGAGGAGGAGGAGGAGGAGGAGGAGGAGGAGGAGGAGGACGGGGAGGAGGAGGAGGAGGAGGAGGAGGAGGAGGAGGAGGAGGAGGAGGAGGAGGAGGAGGAGGGGAGGGAGGAGAGGAGGAGGAGGAGGAGGAGGAGGAGGAGGAGGAGGGAGGAGGAGGAGGAGGAGGAGAGGAGAGGAGGAGGAGGAGGAGGGAGGAGGAGGAGAAGGAGGAGGAGGAGAAGGAGGAGGAGGAGGAGGGAGGAGGAGGAGGATCGGTGGGGGGACAGGATTGACGGGATCCCGAGGCCACGGATCCGGGGGAGAGGAGGAGGATGTATTGCAGCGGGCCCGCTGGGGGCCAGGCAGAGCGGGGGGAAGCAGGGAAAGGCGGTTTGCGACGACGAGGCTGGGTACGGGGCCTTAGTGGGCCCTGGAAACGACAGGGCCGTTTTTGTTACCGGTTCCGTTTTGCAGTTTTTCCGCCGGTTCCGACGCCGTTTTTTCACCGGTTCCGTCGCCGTTTTTTGACCGGTTCCGGCTCCGGTTCCAATCCTGGAGCCGTTTTTTGCCGTTTCCGGTCGCCGTTTTTTTGCCGTTTCCATTTTCAAGGGGCTTTTTTTGGGAAACGGTGGAAAAACGGCCCTGCCATTTCCGTGTCCCACAAAGCACGGGGTCGACGGGATGCTTTGCAAGACCGTTAACGGGAACGGAGGGAGATGGAAAAATCAGAAGCGGTTGGGGCCAGATGCGAGAGAAAAGGGCCGGTGTCGCCCCAGTTTCTTGACCCTAGAGGTTCACCGAGCATTCGGTGTGAACACCCTCTCAGGCGCCAAATGCGCCCTGCACTACTGTCACCCTGAGGTAGGGGTTCTTGGGGATACGGCAGGCCATCGACTTGGGGAGGAGAGAGGAGGGAGGTGAGGGAGGGAGAGAGAGAAGGGAGGGTATGAGAGAGAAGGGAGGGTATGAGAGAAGGGAGGGTGAGAGGGGCAAGCTAGGTGCGCTCGCGTCGACGTCCTACCCCTCCCTCCCATCCTTTACCATGGCGTAGATCTCTTCTTTAATTCGCACAATCGGATGTCTTAGCATGGCATAGCATTACATGGCATAGCATGGTGTTGAAGATCAACGCGTAGCATGACATAGCATGGCGTGGCGACGCCCCAAAATGGGGGCTTCTGCGGCCCAAAAATCAACGAATCGACACAGAATGTGTAATCACATCCGATGGTTTCTTCGGGAGGCCATTTTCTAGATTTTGGGGCCTATTTGGAAGGACCGAAAACCATGCCGTGGCATGGCACTGGAAATAATGACGCCAGCGCTGCAGCGGGAGCACGATTCGGAACGAGCGAAAGCGCGGAAATGTGGCCAGCGCTGCAGCGGGAGCACGATTCGGAAAACGCGGAGCCTGACACAGCATGGCGTGGCGACGCCCCCAAAAAAAGTCAACGAATCGACACCGAATGTGTAATCACTTCCGACGGTTTTCGGGGGGGTAGATTTTGGAGCCCATTTGAAAGGACCGAAAACCATGCCGTGGCATGGCGCTGGAAATAATGAGGTCAGCGCTGCAGCGGGAGCACGACTCCGAACGAGCGGAAGCGCGGAAATGTGGCCAGCGCTGCAGCGGGAGCGGTGGCCCGAAAATTAAGCCAGCGCCTCAGCGAGAGCAGGATTTTGAATACAACAAAAAAACCACACGCGGAGGGGTGCCGGCCATTCTGGACGCCACCAGGGGAGAGAGGGGAGCAGTATTCATATTGTGCAATTGTAGAGGGGAGGAAGGCAGCGAGGAGAGGAGGCCTGGCAGGCTGTAGGGCGTTGCCGTTGCCAAGGGCATGAGGAGGTGTTCGCGCCCGTGCCCCGTGCTGCTGTCACGCGATCGTCCCCGTGCGGCCGCTATTTCGGCGCTTACGCCGTGGCCCAGCGCTTCGGGGGCGCTCCTGGCACCGCCCAGGCCGCGCAGGCGCCCTCCACCATTGGCCGAGGCACCCACTTGCCAGGGCCCTGGCCCAGCTCTTCTGGTGGGCTTGGCCCCCCCCCCAGCCTGGAGCGAGTCTCTTGCTAAGATTCGCGATGGCGCCCGTCAGTGGGGACGCTCCCGCGCCCCCGCCCGTCCCCCTGGAGGGTTTCTCCACAGGGCTTAGGTGACCCGTCCTCCTTCTCCTCCTCCTCCTCCTCCTCCTCCTCCTCCTCTTCCTCCTCCTCCTCCTCGTCCTCCTCCTCCTCCTCCTCCTCCTCCTCCTCCTCCTCCCCTCCTCCTCCTCCTCCTCCTCCTCCTCCTCCTCCTCCTCCTCCTCCTCCTCCTCCTCCTCCTCCTCCTCCTCCTCCTCCTCCTCCTCCTCCTCCTCCTCCTCCTCCTCCTCCTCCTCCTCCTCCTCCTCCTCCTCCTCCCCCTCCTCCCCTCCCCCTCCTCCACCACCACCTCCTCCTCCTCCTCTCATCCTCCTCCTCCTCCTCCTCCTCCTCCTCCTCCTCCTCCTCCTCGCTCTCCCCTCCTCGGGTCGCCTGCGGCCCCAGAGGAAACCGTGCAGAGCCCCTCCCAGAAACGTCGCGGTGTGCGCCGGCGCTGTGTTGGGAACGGCTGGGTGGCTCCTTCCCAGGCGGCGTCGGCGCGAATCGTGACGTCGCAGGCCCCCTTTCGAAGCGGAAAAAAACGCCATGAGCATAAACTTTTGGCGCTCCGTGCGGATTTCTTGGATCCGTGCTGGGCCTCCCCCCGGCGGCGCCTCTGGAGCGGCGCCGCCCCTGGCGCGCGCCAAGTGGGGGGTCGTGGCAGATGGGATCGTGGCCGATGGGGTCGGAGGATCGCGCCGTATCGGCGATGCGGCGCGATCCTACGACCTCATCCACTGTGGCCCGATGTGGGCGGACCCTGAGATCTGGGCGTTGGATGTTTCCCCAAACAGTGCATGCACTCAGGGGTTCTTATTTTTTTCCCGAGGAACTGGGCCTGGGTGTCGGTCTGGCGGTTCCGTGCTCGCCGTCGCCGCCCCGTCGCCGCCTCGTCGCCGCCCGTCGTCTGGGCCTGGGTGTCGGTCTGGCGGTTCCGTGCTCGCCGTCGCCGCCTCGTCGCCGCCCGTCGTCTGGGCCTGGGTGCCGGTCTGGCAGCTCCGTGCTCGCCGTCGCCGCCCCGTCGCCGCCTCGTCGCCGCCCGTCGTCTGGGCCTGGGTGTCGCGGTCTGGCGGTTCCGTGCTCGCCGTCGCCGTCGCCGCCTTGTCGCCGCCTAGAACGTAAATCTATATATATATATATAGAGGTTCAAATATGAGCATATAGCATAATATCGCATCAGATAGACTGCACAGCATATATTCTCCTTTCTAAAAAAAGAATAGACTCTACCCTCCCCCCCCGGACTTATCGCTTCCCCCTGGGATAGTATGATTTCATATATGGTCTGCACACTCGTCCAGCCTAAGTATGAAATCAGACCATCCCAGGCAGGCCGGGTTCCCCCCCCTGAGGTTCTCTTGTAAAAAACACTATGCGGTGACATTTTTTGTTCTAACATAGCACTTGTTCGCGAATACCTTGTAAAACTAGGACGAACTGCACACGCGCGCGTCGTCGCGCGCGCATGCCGAAATCCTTCAAAAACCTCCGGTGCCGGAAGGATTTCGCAATCGAGTTTCCAAAAAACATACAAAAACAAATTGTTTCGCAACACTGATTTGCTAAAAAAACTTCCGCGCGAGTTCTTGCGAAATCTTAAGAAAACCATAGGTTTTTCAAGAGGCTTCGCGCGCGCATGTCGAAATCTGTCGAACGCCCTGCGTGTGCCGTCGCGAGAATCCTCTGCAAAAAATGGGACGAAGTGCAGACGCGCGCGTCGTCGCGGGCGTATGCCGAAAACCTTCAAAACCCATCGGCTTCGGAAGTATTTCAAAATCGTGCGTCCAAAAAACCTACAAAAACCCAAGGTTTCGCAACACGGATTTTCAACAAAAGCGTGCGCGCGCGCTCTTGCGTCGTCGTCGTCGTCGTCGTGGCCGTCCTCCCTCCTCCCGCGTCGTCGTCGTCGTCGTCGCCTACGTCGTCCTCTGTCTTTTCTCGTGTTCGTCGTCGTCGTCCTCTTTGGCGTCGTGGTCGTTTCCGTCGTCGTTGTCGCCGTGGTCGTCCTTCCTCCTCCTCCCACGTCGTCGTCGTCGTCCGTCGTCGGCGTCTCGTCGTCGTCCCTCCTATTTCGTCGCCGTCGTCGTCGTCGTTGTCGTCGTCGTCTTCCCTCCTCCCTCGTCGTTGTCGTCGTCGGCGTCGCCGTCCTTCCTCCTTCGCCGTCGTTCGCGTCGTCGCCGTCCTCCCTCCTCCCTCGTCGTTGTCGTCGTTGTCGTCGTTGTCGCCGTCGTCGTCCTTCCTCCTCCCTCGTCGTCGCCTTCGTTGGCGTCGTCGTCGTCGTCTTCGTCGGCGTCGGCGTCGGCGTCGTTGTCGTCGTCGAAGTCGTCGGAGACGTCGTCGGTGTCGTCCTAGTCGTTGTCGTCGGTGTCGTCGTAGTCGGTCTTAACAGGTTTTGCTAACCAAGTTGCGGGTGGGTGGGTGGGATGTTTGCGCGAGCAGTGGATATGACGACTTCAAGTTCAGCAGAGTGGGTTGCACCACATAGGTTGCACCACATACATCGCACACATATATATTGCACAGCATAAGTTGCACCGCGCAGATTGCACCACGTCGGTCGCACCACAATTGCGCACCACAAAAAATGCACCACGTCGATTGCACCACAAATACATTGCGCACAACATGTACTTCCATTTCCGTAGAAGAATCCGGATCGATCACCCACCCACCCACCCTGGATCATCGGTCCACCCTGGAGACTCACAATTTACACATGATTTCGCCCCATCGTTCAGTCTAAAATTGATTCCGTATCATCCCAGCCAAGCAGGTTTCGAGAACCCACCGCCACCATTTTGCTAAAAATTGTATACGCGCACGCTCGTTGATCGAAAATCGTAAGTTGTCAAGCGTCGACTGCAAAAACCGGGACGTAGAGCACACGCGCGCGTCCTCGCGCGCCCTTGCTGGAATCTTCCAACAAAAACCATAGGTTTCGGAAGGAGTTCAAAGGCGATTGTCCCGGAGGTATCTTAAAAGAACACTTGGTGTTTCAACATACAGTTTCGAAAATGCTTGCACGCGCACGCTCTCCTGCATCCTTACGAATTCCACGGGTTTCTCCAACAGTTTCTTCGCATGCGACCAAACGGGCTTCTCACGCGCGCATATCGAAATCATTCGAACGCCTTTGCGCGCGTGCTGGGGGCGGCACGGTCCCTGTCAAGTAAGACCGTGCGGGCTATTCGCGCTCGTCGGTCGCGCGCGTATGTCTAAATCCATCCAAAACCTTCATCACCGACACGTGCACACCATCATCGCCATCGGCGTGATCAGCATCGGCAACGTTATTGGCCTTGCCGTCGTCATCGTCACCATCGTCATCAGCATCGCTACTGTCATCAACGCGTCTACGTTGTCGACGGCACCATGATACCGCGCCCGCCCGAGTCACCGACTCGCACTGAAGTGCCCACGCGTCAGCGCGGCCTGCGAGACGCGCTGGGAAGTGCCCAGCGGTCAGCGCCACCGCGGCCGCGTCGGTCGCGCCGGACTAGCTGGCCGCTCTGCGCGCAAGCTTGCGCGCGCTAGCGCGGCCGCAACGATGCGCCAGCCAGCGCCAAGCAGTCACGGCAATCACCGCCGCATGGGTTTTGCGAGGCAAGTTGCGGGCGGGTGGGTGGGCGGGATGACTGCGCGAGCACAATTTCAGTTGGGCAGGGCGAGTTGCACCACATCGATTGCACCCCAGATTGCTCCACGTAGATTAGCGCACCACGTAGACTGCACCACGCAGACACCCACATATTGCTAGAAACACATTGTTTGGGGTCTACGCTGGTTAACGTTCCCACGCTTGGCGTTTCACTCGGTTTCGGATCCTGGGACCTTGCAAATCGATTTGGTTCGAAAATTTGTTCGGGGAGTTGGCGTTTAGGGCTTCGGATGCGGCTTTCCGCAACATTGCGATTTTGTCCGCCAGGTCGGATCTCAAGGGTCTTCAGTCCAGGGACCAGATTTGAGCGCACTGTTGACAAGAAGGCCAGGGGAAGGCTTTGACCCGCGCGCTGCGGAATACGCACGAACCTCGTTATTTTTCCCGTCTCGAGCCCCAGGAAACTCACGGGCCGGTTTGGCTCGAGACATGCCGCACAGGCATGCGGCCAGGGAATCCAATCGTGATGTTTCACGGAATGGAGTTGTTGGTTCACGTCGCCGAAAATCGGAGTAAATGGACCCCAGGTCGCACCACACCGCCGATGTATTGGGCCACCAAATTTCTCCATACCGGCGTCGCCGAGGCATGCCAATGCGGTGACCACACCAGTGGGTGAGTCGGTGGGGATTCGGGGTGACCGCACGGTTTTGGGACGGGCGCCTCGGGCCCCCAGGGCCCCGCAACCGCTCGGAGACGTCTCCTGACGTGGTCGAGGTCCCCGCACGGTCTGCCACCGCACCGCCCCGTGACCTCCATGCGGCGCGGTGCGACGCCTGGGCCCCCGTGTGCCGAGGTTCGGCCTTTCGACCTCTGCCAAGGGCACGGGCCCTCTCGGGGCCCTCGCCCCCGTCCCGGAGCCCCCGCGCCCTCGCCGCAGCGCCACGCTCTTTGCGCACTCCGCGGGGACCCCCCTGGGGCCCAGCGGCCCCCCAGGCGCCAGGGCCGCCACGATCTGGGGCCCTTGAGTTTTCGGGCCGCACCTCGGGTCAGCCGGCGGCAGCTCGGGAAGGCCAGGCTCTGGGCACTTTCCGCGCGAGCTTCCTGCAAGGGGTGCTCTCGCACGTCGGAGCAGGGCGAGCTGACACGGCGGCAGTTCAGCATCGGTCTCTGGACCCCTCCCGGTTTCCGAGCTGCGCCCAGCCGTGGCGACCAGGGGGGCCCTGCGAAGACCACCTGCCAGTGTCTCGGCTCGCCCTCCTCTGATCGTCGTCGCCGCCGCCGTCGTTGCCGTCGGCTTTCGGTTCACAGCTCGGCTTTCTGGCAGCCGTTCGGGATGATCCACGCACCCCCAGAACTCACCGAGCGCGTTGCATTACTCGGAAAGAGGGCGTTCTGTGGTCGCTTGGAGGGGGGGGGTTGGAGCCGGCGCCGGCGTCGGCGGCGGTTGGCGGCGGCGACGGCGGGGATGCTGGTGGTGGTGGTAGGGGCGGTGGTGGTGGTGGTGGTGAGCTGTTGTGGTGGTGGTGGCTGTGGTGGTGGTGGTTGTGTGGTGGTTTGGTGGTGGTGGTGGTGGTGGTGGTGGTGGTGGTGGTGGTGGTGGTGGTGGTGGTGGTGGTGGTGGTGGGTTGAGGTGGTGATGGTGGTGATCGTGGTGGTGGCGGTGGTGGTGGTGGCGTGGTGCTTTGTGGTTGTGGTGGTGACGGTGGTGGGCTATGGTGGTGGTGGTGGTTGTGCTGGCGGTGGTAGTGGTGGTGGTGGGGTGGTGTTGGTGGTGGTGTGGTGCCTGTGCTGTTGGTAGTGGTGCTGGTGGTGCTGGGTAGTGGGTGGTGGTGGTGGTGGTGTGGGTGGTGTGGTGGTGGTGGAGGTGGAGGTGGTGGAGGTGGAGGTGGAGGTGGTGGAGGTGGTGTGGTGGTGGTGGTGGTGGTGGTGGTGGTGGTGGTGGTGGTGGTGGTGGTGGTGGTGGTGGTGGTGGGGTGGTGGTGGTGGTGGTGGTGGTGGTGGTGGTGGTGGTGTGGTGGTGGTGTGGTGGTGGTGGTGGTGTGGTGGTGTGTGGTGGTGGTGGTGGTGGTGGTGGTGGTGGTGGGTGGTGGTGGTGGTGTGGTGGTGGTGGTGTGGTGGTGTGGGGTGGTGGTGGTGTGGGGTGGTGAGTGGTGATAGTGGTGATAGTGGTGATAGTGTGTGGTGATAGTGGTGATAGTGGTGATGTGGTGTGGTGTGGTGGTATGGTGGTATTGGTGGTGGTGGTGGTGGGTGGTGGTGGTGGTGGTGGTGGGTTGTGGTGGGTTGTGGTGGGTTGTGGTGGTGCTGGTGGTGGTGGCGTTTTTGATGGTGGTGGTGGTGGTGAGGTGGTTTGTGGTGATGGTGGTGGTTGTGGTGATGGTGGGTTGTGGTGGTCGTGGTGGTGGTGGTGGTGGTGGTGGTGGTGGTGGTGGTGGTGGTGGCGGTGGTGGTGGTAGTGGTATGGTGGTCTGTGGTGGCGGTGGTGGTGGTGGTGGTGTGGCCTTCGGCTCTTCCCGCCATTGTGTTTTGGCAAAGGGTCAGAGTTCTGATGGATGCTTCTTGAGGTCTCGTCAGAAGGGTCTCGGGTGCGTCTGAGGAGCATGCGAGGGCTCGATATGGCAATTTGTGTGTGTTCCCTCCGCGGCCTCTGGGCCCTCCCTGGTCATCCATCGTCGCCGCCGTCGGCGCTGCTGGCCGCCGCCAGCGCCGGCGCCTGCGCCGGCGCGGGGGGGAGGCTTGAACCCCCCCCCCCTTCCTGGGCTCTCTCTGGTCATCGTCGCTGCGTTAGCGCTACGGCGGCCGCCAGCGCCGGCGCCGGCCGCGGGGGAGGGGGTTCGGGAGGGGGGAGGGTTAGGGGGGAGGGGAGTCCCCCTGGTTCTGATCGACGGCGCCGACTGTTGTGGGCGGGGGGCCACCCCCCGGTTCGAAACGCGCCGCCGAATGTTCCCAAGGCAAGCGCCCGTGAAACGCGCTCTCTCATTACTCGCAAAATGCCTACTCGCAAACGGCCGAAAACCACATGGCTTACCTCGGGATAAAGAATGACCCCCCGCGGCGGATCCGGGACATTTGCAAGCAGTTACTTACTTTTCGAATAGTGGAACGCGGTTGTCTAGGAACGCTCTCGGCGAGGCTGCCGAAAGCACCATGAGGCTGGAAAGCCCCAAGGAACCAACGGAATTGCACGGAAACCTCGAACCTCGAGCCTCGCGCGGCCCTTGGAGGTCTCGGGCGCTCCCGCGGCCCTCCCCGTCGTCTCGCCTCCTCACTGTCCTCCTCATGTTCCAGGTCCTCTTCCTCTCTGCAGTGCGGCGCGGCCTGGCAACGCAAAGGCAGCCAGGACCGGCCGGCAGAGGTCCGTTCCCCCGCCCGTCTGAGTCAGCGGCTGCGGCTTGCAGGCCCGGGGGTGTTTCACTACCTACGCAGGCAGCACCGGGGACGAAAGAAAGTCAGCCACGGCCTCCTGCCCGCGAGCTCCGCGAGGCCCGAGTCGTCCTCGGCAAGTCGGTCTGGGCACGGCCGCTGGTTAGTCCCTGCAAAGGTCGCGCCTCCGGGTTCTGGAAGCGCGCAGCGGCCTCGCCAGGTGTGGCCAGGGGCAAGTTCGGGGGGGGGGACAGGCAACGATAGGAGGGGATGGGCTCGAGGTTAGAGGTTCAAAGTTTTCGGACGTCTTCGTGGATTTTCGGCGGCTCCCCAGCCTCGGGGTGCCTTCCACCAGCTGCGCCTCGCCGAGAGCGCTCCGAGGGTGCCCGGGTCGTTCCGAACGGCCGCCGGAGGCCCCATTGATGACCCGAAAACCACCAAGGGCAGAGGCTTTGGGGGGGAATGCCCCTGACCTTCCAGAGAGCTATTTTTTAGCACTGGAGGCCTAAAAACCTAAAAAACTTAACGAAACAGCCTAAAACCAAGACGTAGGATAGCTCTGGGATAGGTTTTTAAGTTTTAGAGGCCCCATTTATCACCCGAAAACCACCAAGGGCAGAGGCTTTGGGGGGGAGTGCATCGGTCCCCAATCGTCCACCGGTCGCCGAGAGGGGCCCGATGGCCCCACCCCGCCCAGGGCCGTGCGGAGATGCTTTCGGGGGCCTCTCGCCGATCTATCGGAGAGGCACCGCCAATGCCTAGTCAATGTGCCCCCCCTGAGCTGGTCCTCCCCTGCCGTTGACCCTCAGCAGAAGGTACGGCCGGACCGAGGCACAAGATCGAGGTCGGTTCGGGGAGGGTGCCCTGATATTCTTCGTGCTTGATGGATGTTCTTGTGTATCCTGGGGAGGGTTCAGTTTGGCTGGCGGAGGGTCTCGTGTTCTTCAGCCACGCGCAGAGGGGGGTGGGGGGAGGGGGGAGGGCTTCTTAGAAGCACCCCTGCTTCTTAGAAGGCGCGGGCCTTATCTATAGATGTAAGGCCGGCGCCTTCTAAGAAGCAGCCTGCTTCTAAGAAGCCCTCCCCCCTCCCTCCACCCCCTTCTGCGCGCCGCCAAGCTCTTGAGGGAGGTTATGATGTCCTGGGTCCGATCGGAGGACGCGCTTCCCGGCTCTGGGAGCGCGCAGCGGCCTCGCCCGCTCGAGGCATGCAGTGGGGCGCTGGCAGGCTGTGCCCTCGGCCCTCTGCACGCCCAGAGCGGAGACGGGCAGTACAGTCGGGGCCCTGAAGAAGGAACCCTTTTCGTTGGGGAGGGGCTCGGTGTTCCCTGATTGTTCTGCAGTTTGCCTTCGGTTTTCCTGAGGTTTCCCATGGGAAATGGAAGTTCAACTTATGGGAGGAAGGGGCCTCGTTCCTTATTTAGGGTTCCGTAGGTCAACGCCCCGACGGTATGAGCACGATGCCCAGCAGCAGTGCTTGTTCAATACGGGGCAGGACGTGCGGCTCTTCGGGGCCACCGGACAGCAAATCTTGCGATTCTGACAGCAGTCGTGCTCCACTGCGCAGCGCTTGTGGTCCAGTTGCACCCGGGTCGCTGTCAAAATGGCAAGACGTGTTGTCAAGAGGGTTCCGAAGGACAGCAAGTCCTACTCCACGTGAACCGGCATTGCTGTTGGGCATCGTATCCATCTCTCCGTCACTATCCCGGGCGTGCAAAAGCCCGAGGTGCCCTGAGAGCTGGGCATTGCAGTTCTCCCACCACTGAGCGTTTTCGCTTATTTTCGGGCCCCGGGCATCACAGGTCGATCCCGCCCGACAACTGCCGCAGAAGGGCCGGGTCCAGGGCTCCAGGCTTGTAATGTTCCAACCTACTCTAGCCTTGATCACCCGAAAAAAATCGAGCACCACGAAAGTACTGAAGCTTGAGGGTTATCACGTGTCGGGCCCTGGGAGGCGATACTCGTTCGGCACTGTTTGGACACTTCTCTGGGCGCTCAAGATTATTTATGGGATGTGGTCCTGAAGTACGATGGGAGCAACATAACTCCAGGCGTGATTCTTCGCGATGTTGGAGGGTTACTCCGAAGGGCTTAGGCGACCCGTCCTCCTCCTCATCCTCCTCCTCCTCCTCCTCCTCTTCCTCCTCCTCCTCCTCCTCTTCCTCCTCCTCCTCGATTTCCCCCCTGCCCCTCCTCCTGCCGCCACTCAACGTCAGTTATCGCATGAATTGACAGAATGGTTTCATGGACAATTGTGCAAGCTGCCATCGCGATGCATGCCCGTCATAGGCACGGACTTGAATTCCACGTGTGCGACGGATCTGACAGAACAACCAGTCGCTGGAGCAGCAGAACCAGACAAAGATGGCATGAATTATGGTATCATCAAACCAGTTCTCAAAGCGCACGATCTACTCTTAATTAACACTTTCTTTCGAGCTGGAGTTACGTATTTTGGCATAGCAGATGATTGCAGGAAGAGAATCGACTACATAATTCTACCAAGAGCCACGTTGGACAACGTGCAAGAATGCATGGTATCATGGCGGAAAGGGCAGAGGCTGCAACACATCAGGCGTGCATCAGCCAAGGACCACTTCCCATTGCAGGCCTCCTTCTTCCACACCTTCGTGCAACAGCAGAACTCACAGAAGGGGCGCAAACCCAACGCGGAGGCCTGCAACGCCATGCGGTTATATGGGTACAGAAGAGAAGCTTTCATAGAGAAGGTTGAGCACAGCTTATCTCAGCATCGTAATCAGTTCGAGCAATGGGAGTACGAGGGCAACATAGATCAGATCAATGCGGGCATGATGGAATGTATCAGTGATGCAGCCAACGAGATGTTGACCTCGGCGCCTGGCTACACCGAGAAGAAGGAGCAGAACTTTTCACTGTCGCGTGAGGTAGCAGCGCTCTTGGCGCAGCGCAGACAGGCTAAAGAGGACGAGGCCCGTCACGACAGCATCTCACTGGACATAGTGCGCATCAGCAAGCAGCTCAAGCAGAAGAAGAAACTTATGCAGGATCAGCTACTTGAAAATAGGGTGGAGGCGTTATGGGAGGCATGGAAAGAGCGCAAGTTCTATGATGCACATCGGATATCACGTCCCATTGCAGGCAATTGTCGAGGTCCACGTGGCCGAATGTATGCAAGAGTACCAACCACAAGAGCATCGGCATTGGAATGGATCAGTAAGTTTCAAAAACACAGACACTCGAGGAGGAGCTAGCGCACGAGTTCTACACAGATGCCAATCGCCCGATGTTGCCACTGGATTATGGAGACGACCTTTCTCGTCGGAAATAGACCCGCACCAGATACAGTCGCATTTAGAGCGGGTCAACCCGAATGACGACGAAGACGAGCCCACGGACTACATGACAGCACACAGGGACGCGTTGCAAGATGTTGAAAAACTACGACGAGCAATAAAAAAGTTACCGTCCTGGAGAGCAACACCAGCGTGGAGCGTGACAGGTGATCTCCTTCGTGTGCTGGCTATGCCCAACTGGTACTACAAGCGGCAGCAAAGACGGGGCATTCGAGGAGCAGAAGAGCATGTCACGCCAGAGCCACCCGACCATGGAGACGAAATTCAGCCACCAGCCTTTCGAAGAGGCCACCTCCTTCAAGAAGAATCGGCAGAGCTTTCCAGTTGCACTGGATTGGGTTTCAACGATACGGAATATGAGGATCCGCTTGAGGAGCTCGACAGGCACGAGGCGACGATCGCACCAGAGAGGCCAGCACAGACATCGACGGAGCGAATCGACACTGACAGAGAGCACGTGACCGAGCACGAGATTCAGGCCCCCATGTTCGAGAGATGCCTATATCTCTGTTGTCGTACGGCACGACAAGCTGGACGAGTACCTGCAGCGTGGCATCAGGCTTCTTGCTGCAGGCTACCCAAGCACAACGACAAGAAGAACACGGCAGGAGAGAGACCCATCATGATTTTCTGTGGGTTAGGCAGATCGTTCTTTAGATCACTCATGCAACCGAGGGCACGCTTTCCATATTGGGCACATGGTGGTATTTCACGCAGAAGAAGGGAAGATGCCATGCTGGTTCAGATGAATGGATCGGCCAGACTAAGAAGAGAAGGAATACACCACGCAACGAGGTACCATGACGCGAGCAATGCGTTTTATTGTATTCACAAATCCCGAGCAGAAGAAGCAGCTGATGAGTTGGCAGACGAATCGCGGGTGGACCTCTTCTATCAGAGAATACACAACAGCACATTCACGATTGATGACGGCGTTCACAGCAGTCACATGACCAACCAGAGCGGCGCATTACCTGGCGACCATGCGGCAACCAAGCTCTTTGTCAAGGCATACGGCAGTGGCGTGCAGAAAATGATCGACATCATGGACACCGACCCGTGGCAGCGAGCACTACATACGAGGCTGCCATGCCCACTTCGAGCTGAACATGATCTCACAGTTACTGAGTTGGCTACCACAGTCTTCGTGGATGATATTGCTCGAAAAATAGTGGGACTGAACATACCTCACCTCGCCGAAGTTGCAACATGGGAAAATCGTGCCATCGATCATGTAATGCAGGAAGTAGGAGGAGCCCAGAACATCGAAAAACAGATGAATCTCGTTCAAGGTGCAGGTTAAACAGCAGGTGCAGTAAATAGAGCCTTCCACGAAAGAACACAACACATTGATGGACAAGTGGTAGCTGAAGCGAGGTACTTGGGAGGTCGACAACATTTTAACAACGGTTTCTCGGCGGAGAAGAAGTTTAGAATGCAGGCCATCAGAACAGCGCGGCACAAGATGGGCAAGTGCTGGTCCACCCCCAAGATCTCCATGAGGTTCAAAGGAATAGTGTTCTCAGGTCTCGCCATCAACACGGCCTTGTCGGGCCTAGAGGCGTTCGTCCTTAACATGCGCTCGCCCCTCGCGGTTCAGTCGCTCGCCCCGTCGCAGCAACTAGTCTACAAGTTCGCGAGGGCGGTGCTCAGGGGGAAACACGCGAAGAGGCAGCAGGACAAGATCAGGGCCCCTTCCAATCTAGAGGTTCAGAGGCACTTGAAGTTGGGGGCGTTATTCACGGAGCTCCGCATCCGAAGGCTCAAGTGGCTCCAGGAGATCGTCACCCACCAGAAGGCACACCAGCAAGTGATTGCGGCCCTCGTAGGGCGAGCTCAGTGTGAGAAAAAGGATTACGACGTTGACCCAGAAGGCAGACTTTTGCCCACGGCCAACGCATGGCTTCAACAGTTTT